CCTCCCTCTATGGTTCTTCCTCCCTCCCTCTTCCTCCCTCTATGGTTCTTCCTCCCTCCCTCCCTCTTCCTCCCTCTATGGTTCTTCCTCCCTCCCTCCCTCTTCCTCCCTCCATTGTCTTTCCTTCCAGTGGTGGGATTTAAATTTTTTTACTTCCAGTTCTGTGGGCGTGGCTTGGTGGGCGTGGCAGGGGAAGGATACTGTAAAAATCTGTAAAAGTCAGAGGTGGGATTTGCCAGTTCTCTGAACTCCTCAAAATTTCCGCTACTGGTTCTCCAGAACTGGTCAGAACCTGCTGAACGCCACCTCTGCTTCCTTCCTTCCCTCCCTCCCCTTCCCACTTCAAATCCAAACATTTTGGACTGTTTACAACAAAGGACCCCAATCCACCATCTCTGTGGAGACCAAATTAAATCCAGAGAACTTCGGGACCGCCCAGGATTCATCCATTGGTTGCTACAGAGGGAAAGGCCTCAGTTTGAGCTGGGTCTCCCAAACCAGCCTGGCACCAACTCTGGGTGACGCCTTGGTCCTTTTCAATGAGGCTGTTTCCCATAGAAAGGGGACCTCCAAGGGGGTCACCCAAAGACTCTGTTTTGGATTTTCTATCCCAGGAGCTCCAAAACATCTTGGTTTCCTTGCTGGGTGGTGACATGAAGGCCAAAGTTGGTAAACTTTAAGAAGGTTATCCTCAGCCATGCAAGGTCCCTGGAGGACTTTTGGGTGGGACTTCTCCTTCAGCCCAGCCCACCTCACAGGGTTTCATGGGGGAAAGAGTGAATCTCAGGTGGACTCTCCATGAAGCCTCCAGAAGCTGAGGGAGATGTTGGCTTCCCATCAGCTCTTGGCCGCCAAAGCTTCTCTGGAACAGCCGTTACTGTCGTACTATGTAGAGTCAGCCTTGCCATATGAGTGTCTTAATGTGTTCCTAATCTTACCTCCACCTCTTTCTCCAGGGTGGTCTCCAGTCCCAACGATTCGACCACCATCTCTTGGGTCACCGGGAATTTTGCTGGGATCTCTGTGCATCGCTGAATGATCCCGGGGCTCGCCCCGTTGAGATACTGGTAGCCAAAAAACGCATCTTCGTCCCAATGCTTGCTGACATATTCTGGGGAGACAGAAAATGTCCTTGAAAAGAGGCAGGGCTAGTTTTCTGGGACAAGACAGATCTGATGGACTGCCCTCCAGAACAATATCTCTCATTTTCTGTCTCTCCTGTTTAAAAACTAAATTTCAGTGTAAGTCTGTGTTGGGAGTCAGGGTCAGCATCAAGCCAAACTGAGAGCTCCAAGGGGGAAGAAAGAATGGAGCTGTCAGAGAGAGAGAGAGAGACAGAGGTGAGGCCTGGGCCTGTTGTGGCCTGCCAGCAGCCAGCAGAGCTGGCGGCAGACTCGAACAGTGAGGAGGTTGAGGAGGAACATGGGCCAGTCCTGGAGTCTGGAGAAGGCTCTGTATCGGAGGCAGAGATGGGGCCAGGGCCATCCGACAGTTATCAGCTGCCTTCGGAGTCAGAGATTAGTGGGGAAGAAGAACAGTGGGAGCCTGTTCCCAGTGTGCGTATGCGCAGAGCTGCCAGGAGAAGGGAACAGTTAAGGAACAAGGGTTTCCTCAGGAGTAAAGCCACATGTGTACAATGAAGGCCTGTCCCAGAGAGATTAACGAGGAGTGAAAGGGGGATGGTGTTTGCAGGAGACAATTAGTTAATTAGGGTGAAGATTTGCTCCTGACTTCTTGCTAGGTATTGTCTGCTACAGCATGACGTTTGGATGATATCGGCCTGGCAACTCTCCCAGCCTGATAAAGGTCTGTAGTTGTGCAATCTCTTGAAAGACTGTTTGCCAGGACTTTGCTGGAGAGGAATTCCCTTTAAATTAACTGAAAGGGGTTTTGTCAGGACGAGGAGCTGGATTTGTGCTTTTGGGAAGCTGGTCAGAAGAAGGCCGTCCCTCACTTTGAGAATCAACAGCTCCTAGGTCTGGAGGTGGCGGACGAGGAAGAGGAGAAACAGCTGGGTCCAGTGCCTGACGTGCAGAAGGCAGAGGAGAGGAGAGCAGTGGAAATCTATTGGCTGGTCCTTGGGATGGAAAAGCCACCACTGCAAAGCTCCGGCCTAGCTCTGGGGATAAAAAACAGGGGGCCGAGACGAATAGGTATGGCAGACCACTATTTATCTCCCTGCCGGTCGATAGCCTGCTCTTCTGAATCCTGTCTGGAAATGATAAGATTTTTCAAAGTCTTCCTTTCTTGGAAAGCCAGGTTATCCAAGAAGCAGCCCGGCTGTTACGATTCTAAGTTTTTAGTCCACACGAGAAAGGAAATCTACAGGCCGTTCCAATGTTGATGTTCAACGTTGAAGGTTCTGTAGTCCTCACTCTACCGCAGGGTTTCCCAACCACGGGCTTTTTAAGATGGGTGGATTTCACCTCCCAGAATTCCCTAGCAAGTATGCTTTTAAGCTGCGTGGACTTCAATTCCCAGAATCCCTCAGCCAAGCATGGGGAATTGAAACCAGCACATCTTAAAGGGGTCAAATTTTGCAAAAAAAAGTTATTTTAGAGCAGTGGTGGCTAACCTTTTTGGGCTCCTGTGCCAAAAACTGTGCATGCTAGTGCTCGCATGCCAGCACCCAGAAGGCAATGCATGCCCCCCCATGCCCCCTGTGCATGCGCATGCAATCCGCCCTTCCATGCCACCCTCTTACTTGCACTGCACCTCCCAGGTGATTTTTGGCCCATTTGAGGCCTTTTTCGGTCTCCCAGAGGCTCGAGGAAAACTCTGCAGCCTCCGCAGGCCGAAAAATGCAGAAATACAGGAAGTGACAAAACGGGCCTATTTTTCGGCCTGCAAAGGCTTTGCTCAAGCCTCTGGGAGGCCGAAAATCATCTGTGAGGCGTGTGCATGCGCAGTGAGGTAAATTTGCCTGTGGCTCGCGTACCAGCACTCTGCGTGCCACCTGTGGCACACGTGCCCTAGGTTCGCCATCACGGTTTTAGAGTATATAAATCCTCTCTGGGTTTGGATTTGGGGAATTGAAGATGGTTGAATGGATGAGAGGGTTTCACTTCCCTACATAACGGGTACAAAAAATGACTGGGGAATTCTGGGAATTGAAGTCCACCCCTCTTAAAATGGCCACGGTGGAGAAACATTGTTCCATAGGTAGTCCTCGATAGTACGACCACAAATGAGCCCCAAATTTTTTGTGGCAAAGCGAGACATTTCTTAAGTGAATTTTGTCCCGTTTTATGACCTTTTTTTGCCATCCATATTAAGTGACTCATGGTGGTTGTTAAGACTGACCTGAGGTTGGGGTCCGATAAAACCAAAAAGCCCTTCGGATGTCAGCCAATTTTTTCCAGGATCCCTTGAGGTTCAGCAACCCTTTTAGCTTCAGCTCGATTTCCCTGGCATTGAAAAAGGGAAGATAAGGTTAAGAGAAGCCAACGAGAACATAGAATAATAGGGTCTAATCCAGTGATGGATAACATTTTTGGGCTTCTGTGCCGAAAATTGTGTGCACGCTCGCGCTTGCTCACATGCCAGCACCTAGAAGGCAATGCGTGCAGCCCCCCATGTCCCCTGCGCATGCGTGCACAATCCCCCCCCCCATTTGGCTCCTTCCCTGCCCCCGGCACGTGTGCACCTCCCAGCTGATTTTTGGGCCTTTTTTGGCTTCCCAGAGGCTTGAGGGAAGTCTCTGCAGCTTTGGAGACTGAAAAATGGGCCCGTTTCGTGACTTCTGCTATTTCCAGAAATATAGGAAGATTTTCAGCCTCCAAAAGCTGCAGAGGCTTCCTAAGAGCCTCTGGGAGGCCGAAAAAGGCCCCAAAATCAGCTGGGAGTCGCGCGCATGTGCAGTGAGGTAAGTTTGCCTAGGGCTAGCATGCCCGCATCTGTGGCACGTGTGCCATAGGTTCACCATCATGGGTGTAATCTATATATATAAAAGTGAAATACCCCTCATGCATCATCACAAAATCTCCAGCACTGTCCAGTCTACAAACTTGACATTTGACACCTATGTTCTTCTTGGCTTCTAGGGGCTCATTAAGAAAGGATTTAGTCCAGAACAGTTAAACTAAGCCACGCCCAGGCTCCTTGCTGTCTCCTGCTTGCTCACACAGCAAATGCTGTTTCAGTTCCCAAACAACCCTCAACTCTCTCACAGGATGCTAGCCAGATGAATACCAATGGATGCTGGTAGGCAGAGGCAGAATTCCCCCCCCCTTATTTTCCTCCCCAAAAACTAAGCCCGCACCACGTAGTTTTGTAGCAAAGCACGGGTATCAAGCTAGTAATGGATGAAGGACTTGAAAAAAAGATGGAGCTTTGAAGTTATTTATGTCGATGGCACCAAGATTACTTTGTAGTAATCTTGGGAGGACATAGTGATTCACATAATGGATGAAAGGCTGCAAAAGTTGATGTAATTAGCAGAGATAGCTAAATCGACTGCCTTGATTAAAAAAAAAAGAAGACAGTTAATTTGGTTTCTCCTTGGAAACCACTTCTGGACTTTGTGCTCGCAATGGAAGAAACTTTGATTTTCATTGCTTCAATTCAAGAAAAGAAGACAATAAATGTGTTTCTCCTTGGAAACCACTTCTGGACTTTGTGCTCGCAATGGGAGAAACTTTGATTCTCATTGCTTTGATCAAAGAAAAGAAGACAATTAATTTTGTTTCTCCTTGGAAACCACTCCTGGACTTAGTGCTCGAGATAGGGGAATCTTTTATTTTCATTGCTCTGATTAAAGAAAAGAAGACAATTAATTTTGTTTCTCCTTGGAAAGCACTTCTGGACTTTGTGCTCGAGGTGGGAAAAATGAAACTTTGATTTTGGGTTCTGCTGATTGGACAAGTTTGTTGTTATAGAAATGGCTAGCATATATTATTATATAGAATTGAAAAGTTGAGGTTTCATTATTCTACTTTATTCTACCTTATTCTACTGCACCAAAGAGTCAGAAGTCAATGCTTTCCCCCACTTTTCCCCTACATTTTCTCCTCTCCCCCTTTCCCTCCCCTATCATACCTATATTTTCATTTTTTTTCTTCATATTTTTATATTTTATGTTTTGATCAAGTAATACAAATTTCAAACCGGCTAATAGAACATAGAATTACAGGGTTGGAGGTCATCTAATCCAGCCCCCTCTGTAGCAATTTTATGGCAACTTGTGAAAAAAACCGGTTCAACGGCGAATAGAATGGGATTATTTTTCTGGCAATAACAAAGAAACTCTTGGATTCTCCTCCTGATGTGTTTTCAATTGTACGTACGCAGTTTTCAGGAGGACTCGGAAAGAGCAGGATTTGATGCTGGAATATTGATCACTCAGGTGCAAATGGTCCACCGAATCGGCGTCTAAACATTTGGGCCATCCAGGTTGATAATCTTTATATCTGTAGCCAAAAAAAGGGGGGCGGGCACCGGAAAGGATTGTGGGTTAATGTCAACTCATAAAACATTCCTATGCCTGTTTTAATAATTGCCATAAAAAGGGGGAGAAAGCGAAAGTACATTCCAACTCTTATCTTTAAAAGATTGTAACTAAACTACCTGAGTTTTTGCCCGGGAATATATTGAATTGGAGAACGTAAATGATGACACTCAGCCAGGGGTGGGATTCTACCAGTTCGCACCTATTCGCTAGAACCGGTTGTTAACATTCTAAGCAGTTCGGAGAACCGGTTGTTAGAAGAAATTACTGGGCTAATCCTGTAAGGAAGGCAGGAAGGAAACATTCTGGTGTTGCTTACAGAAACTGCCTCTCCGTTAACCCTTATTGCATTCTTGGCAGGACTAGACTTCCTGTCTCAGGAACTTCTCTGGAGTTTTTCCCCCCTCCTTTGCTGTTATTTTGCTTGTGTGGAGTGACCATTCAAAGTTACAATGGCACTGAAAAAAAGTGACTTATGACCGTTTTTCACACTTACGACTGTTGCAGCATCCCCACAGTCATGAGAGGCCAGGCGAGGAGATCCGTGCCTCGATGTGAGTGATATTGAGTTGGCCACACCCAGCTAATAACATGACCACCAAGCCACGCCCACCAACTAAGCCACGCCCACAGAACCAGTTGTTAAAAAAATTCAATCCTACCCCTGCACTCAGCCCGTGAACGTACAATTGGAGAATCTGGTTTATGAGACACCCAGTGATTTTCTGCAAAAAACGTAAATCATGGTCACCTGGGATGTTGCAAACAATCCTAAGTGCAAGATGGTTAGCTGAAAGGCAGTCATGTGACCATGGGGGGGGGAGAATGCTGGCTAGGGAATTCTGGGAGTTGAAGTCCGCAGCTCTTCAAGTCGCTGAGATTGAGAAAAACCGCTTGCATTTTTAAAATTACTCCTTCATGTTTATTTATAAGGGAGGCAATCTCCCCCCACCCCCCAGGGAAAACACACCTGTCGGGCTTCAGGCTGCTTCTGCAGAAAGCTTGGACTCCAATCCCCATCATCCTTAGCCAGAAACCCCTTTGGGGGGGATTGGAAGAGACAGAAGTAACTAACAAGGGAGTTTTTGCAAACTGGGCAAATTTCTAGCTGTGTTTGAGACTCGTCTGCAAAAATTGGATTTCTTGGATAATTTTTACAGAGGGGGGAAAAAAACCAGGAGTTTAAAAATATTCCCAGGGTGCCTGCAATAATTGTTTGTGTCTGAATGCAGGAAGAAATGTTTTACATTTATGTGTGAAGATTCACATCCTTGTCCATATTTACACCTGGGCCTTAGCATTTCAGATTGGCTGACTCACCTGTAGGTTTCCTGTTTTGCTAGCAGTTCGTATCTGCGATGTTCTGAAAGCAATTGATCGTTTGCATCCAGGCGAGCGATTTTAGCTGCGAAAAGAGGGTGTGGGGGGGAGAATTAAAATTATTTGTAATTCGTTTGCTTGGTTGTCCTTCCTTCTTCCACTTCGAATGTTTCTTTCGCATTAAGGAATAATTTGGGACTCTAAAATATAGGCAGTGCTTCATTTAGGGACTGTTTCATTTGTTTAGGGACCATTTGAAGTTTACAATGGCCCTGAAAATGTGACAGGGACGTTTTTCACACTTACGGCCGTTGCGATATTCCTGGAGGGAGGGGTGTCACAGGATCAAATGCATGGCAACTGACTCATATTTATGACAGCTTCAGTCTCCCAGGGTCATCTGATCCCCTTTTGCGACCTTCTTACCTCTTAAATGAAGACAGATTCACTTAACAACCTTGTTACTAACTTAGCAACTGCAGTGATTCACTTAACAATGGTGCAAGGAAGGTCGTAAAATGGAGCAAAGCTCACTTAGCCAATGGTTCACTTAACCACGTAAATTTGGGGCTCCATTGTGGTAATAAATCAAGGATTACCTGTAACTGGAACCCAGGTTTGGGGTAGTTGCACACCTCTTAAAACCTCCCCAATCGTTTTACGCTTTTGTATAGCTTCTTCATCATCTTCTTTTAACGACCCCATAATCCCCTTGTAGGGTGGAGTCTGGGCAACTGAATGGAGCTAGCAGGGTGTTTTACTGACCGGATGCCCTTCCTGTTGTCAGTGCGGAGTTTTGTTCGGCAGATATATTCTCATCGTGCCCAGAGAGAGAAATATCTGCCTCTACCTAGGATCGAACTTACAGCCTCCTGATTGTGAGACGAGAGTTCCGCCTCTAGGCCACCACACCCCCTCCATTTGAATAGCTGCCACTGAAGGCAGGAATTCCATCAGAAAAACTTTCTAGCTTTCTCAGAAAAAGCTTTTGAGTCAATGGGATGTCATATTTCTTAGGTTAAATTCATTTTATTTGAAATTGGGTTGGGATCTGACAGCTGTCGGGGAGTTCCAACAATGAAACCAGTGGGTGGGTGGATAAACTGAATAAATCAAATAATAAATTTTGTCCCACGGAGAGACGAAATTATATCTGTAGATTCCTGCCTGTCGAGTTGCAGGAGCTGGAGGCAATACAAGGACACTTAAGCAAACTTAAATTTTTCTAGGTCAGCACAAACTCCAGAAGTTCCAGTTTTCACACTTCCTAATAAATCATCCCTGGGTTTTGTAACTTTTTTTAACCTACTAGGAAAGTGTGTCAAACAGAATGTGACAATAGTGTAAAGCGGCTGAACTATTACTGGACTGTTCATTATAAAGCTGTGTTTTTTTAAAACTTGGCAACTTGAAACTGTGTGGACTTCAACTCCCAGAATTCTCCAGTCAGCAAGCTGAACTCTGGGAGTTGAAGTCTACCAAACTTGGAGATGCCAAGACTCTGGGAGTTGAAGTTTACCAGCCAAGATTGAGAAACCCTGGCCTATTGAGTCATATTCAGTTCCTTGTTGAATATTGACTGAAGGTTTTGTGGACCTCACTCTATTGTGATATTTCTCAAGCTTGGCAAAAAAAATGGAAGTCCACCCATCTTCAAGCTAAACTTCTTCTGAACTTCCATCTTCAGTTCTGAGAATCGAAGTCCACCAATCTTCAAGCTAAAGTTAGTTTTGGGAATTGAAGTTCACACATCTTCAGTTCTAGGAGCTGAGGACCACCCATCTCCAAGGTTTCAGTTGTGGACATTGAAGTTCATCCATCATCAAGTTGAAGTCCACTCATCTTCAGATCTGGGAATTAAAGTCCACCAAACTTCAACCTAAAGCCCATTCATCCAATTATGGGAATTGAAGTTCACCCATCTTCAGTTCTAGGAGCTGAAGACTACCCATCTTCAAGGTGAAGTCCTCTCATCTTCAATTATGGGAACTGAAATCCACCATCTTCAAGCTAAACTTCTTCTGAACTTCCATCTTCAGTTCTGAGAATCGAAGTCCACCAATCCTCAAGCTAAAGTTAGTTTTGGGAATTGCAGTTCACCCATCTTCAGTTCTAGGAGCTGAGGACCACCCATCTCCAAGGTGAAGTCCTCTCATCTTCAATTATGGGAACTGAAATCCACCATCTTCAAGGTGAAGTCCACCAATCTTCAAGGTGAAGTCCATTCATCTAATTCTGGGAATTGAAATCCACCATCCTCAGTTCTAGGAGCTGAAGAATACCCATCTTCAAGGTAATGTCCACCCATCTTCAATTCTGGGTGTTGAAGTCTACCCATCCTCATGCTGAAGTCCACTCATCTACAGCTGTGGGAACTGAAGTCCACCAATCTTCAAGCTAAAGTCCATTTATCTAATTCTGGGAATTGAAGTCCGCCCTCTTCAAGGTGAAGTCCATTCATCTTCAGTGCTAGGAACCAAAAACTATCCATCTTCAAGGTGAAGTCCTCTCAATTTCAATTCTGGGAATTGAAGTTCACCATCTTCAAGAAGAAGTCCACTCATCTTCAGTTCTGGCAATTGAAGTCTGCGCATCTTCCAGGTGAAGTCCATCCATCTTGAATTCTGGGTGTTGAAGTCTACCCATCCTCATGCTGTAGTCCAACTCATCTTCAAGGAGAAGTCCACCCATCTTCAATTCTGGAAACTGACGTTCACCCATCTTCAAGGCAATGTCCACTCATCTTCAGTTGTGGGAATTGAAGTCCACCATTTTCAAGCTGAAATCCACTCATCTCCAGTTCTAGGAGTTGAAGTCCAGCGATCTTCAAGCTAAAG